CTCAGCAAATGTTATTCAAAAGTCAACAAGGTCTCAAGGTCTTAGGATATGTGGAGATTCTTCTGTCCTGCTGGACAAGCATCCCAGGTGGTCCCTCATGAAGACACTTGAAAGAAAACCAAGAGAAAGTAAAGCTCCATCAAATCAAAGTAGCACTACTTCAAACATACATACATACGCACATATATATATGTATGTATACATATATATATATACATACATACATACATATATATATATATATATATATATATATATATATATATATATATATATATATATATATATATATATAAGTGATATATTAGATATATAAGGAAATATTAGATATATTGACCAGATTTAAGATCATTTCAAATGACAAGTTCCCATTTTTGCACTGCATGCTCACTGGCAAGGGGAACTGGTCTGTGGAGCAGTGGACCTGTGTTCTCTGGAGTGATCAAGCTACAGCCACTACCTTTGGGATGAGCAGGGGTGGTGTTTATAATCCAGAAGTAATCATCCAACATCACTACCTGACCTCATGTATGCTCTTTTGGCTGAATGCAATCAAATCTCACAGCACTGTTCCAACATCTAGTGAAAGTCTTCCCAGAAAAGTAGAGGCTGTTACTGCATGGGGGGCTGTTTTAGGATGAGCAGTGTCTGACTTTTGAATATTTTCATAGCTTTGATGTCTTTACAATTATTTTAAAAAAGTGGAAAATAGAAAAAGTGCCCAAACTTTGTCTGCTTTAACTTGTACTGTATGAGCAAAGGATAAAAGTCTGGTATGCCCTGCAGTGCTTGGTGGCTTGGTTGATCTGAGTTGGCTGCATTTCACCTTTCATGATTTCTCCACCGCAGGCCAGGATAGGAGACCCAGTACTATCAGAACGAAACTTTACAGCAGAGCGCGGCAGAGCAGGAGCGAATCATTAAAACAAGTGTATAACAAATGTTTCACACAATTGATTTTTCCAACCCTTGTCTTGCCCGAGGTTGGAGCGAGTTCACCTTGCACTTACAGATCTGAAAGAAAAGAGAAAACACAGGAACAAAGAAAACTAAAGCTACTCCTGAGAGAGCTGGACAAGAGGCCAAAGCAGCACTCAGGGCTAGATGTATGCCAGATGAGCTTAAAATGTGACTTGTTGCAACATTCAGTTATCTAAGGCTGTAGCTAATTACACAAACTGCACAGAGTAACTCTTCAAGCTTTAACCTATAGAAGTTGCAATTATTGCTGACAATAACAAAAGGGCTTGTTGAAACGGAGAGATTCTGTTGAAAGTGCAGACTTTAACTTTCAATCGATTCCACATTTTAACATTAACCACTTTTCACAGTAGCCAAATGAAATTTCTGATTGTCTTGGAGGAAGTTTATTAACTGGACTATGCATTTTTCTTCACTAATGCACCATGTCACCATTTTGGTAGACAAGCTATAACTCTGAGTGTGCTCTGACAGAGCACCAGTATACTTCACCAGTACTGCATTTACAACCCTGCAAGTGGATTGAAAACAAGCTAAATACACCAGAATGACCACAAAAAGATACAAAGACATGCAGATGCTTTAGATGCATCTCCAGAAAATGCCACAAGAAGAAGATTAGCTAGATTGGTGGACTGGATCTGTATAGCCTGCACATCTCCGGAGTTCAGAACATTCCAATGCTAATAAAAGTGGCTACCAGAACTGTCAAAGCTCTAAAATAATAAACTCATACATAAATATTGAGCTCAAGTCAGCTTCTTATTCGCCAGCTTCTCATTTGAATTTTCCATTCCACCTTAAATGGTGCTGCAGTTACACTGAGGTGCCTTAAACAAATTTTGAAAGCTAACATCAATAAATGCATCGATTTAGCTCAATAAATGATCCTTAATCAACAAATACCTCAAACTTTTGCCTGGAGATGTTACTGAGCAGCTATCATGCAGCACAGCGAAGATGTAATCAGTCACTGGAGCTGCTGATCACCTCTCACTGGCTGATCTAATGCTGTGTCCCAAACCACACACTTCTGTACTTCCTACTACACTAATGAGTGCACTTCTAATGGTATATGTGCTAATTTCTGCAACGTGTTTTACTGCCTTTGCTGGATCAATCATGGCTTTGTTATCTCATTACAAGTAGCCACAGCACTGATGAATGAGCTTGAGGTTGCCATCCAAAACAGTGGTAGCACAATTGTGACGTAATCGGAATACTATCAATAAACGGTTTTCACAGCTGGGGGTTCTTACCCTGTCCCTTACACCCCTCATTACTCACTAGCAGCTCAAGAAAGAGTCAAAACATTTCACACACAGAGAGACAACAGTGTCCTTATTAATCTGATAGTAGAGTTACAAGTAAAATTATTTTATTTCATTATATTATTTAAAAATATTCAAGTCAGGTCACTAGGTGGCCTGAAGTAAGACTTGACAAAAAACAGAAATATAAGACATAGGTGCAGACTCAAAAAAATTGATACAGAATGTAAATCTAATATAAACTTATACAGACTCAACTATGTCATTAATTATGTAATAACACAGAGCAGAAACTGAAGCCAGACCTGGGCCGCAGAGACCTGGACACATGAGATCTGGCTTTCTGTTGGGTTAGCAGTCCATAGAGACCACTGCTCAATCATTTGATAATATCAAAAGAGAAAACCTACAAGCTGCTTTGACAACAATGGGTTCCCGACCTCATTCTGTCAGTCGACTCTTTTCTACTCATGCTGAGGCCCAGATCTGCAGAGTTCAGTAAACCCTGCTTTGCCTGGTGCAGAGATCAATACACGCTGCATTGCCCAGCACACCGAACATAGGACACGGGAAGCTTTCCAGCACAAACGGAGAACAGAGGCCACTTCGGGACGACAAAAAGGAGAAAAAGAGAAGTTCAAACGAGAGACAGGGCACGATTCAAACGCCCATTGTAGCCCTCCTGGTGCACCTCCCTTTCATTCTTCAGATGAGCCCTCAGAGCTATGTGCAGGAGAGGGGAACGTAACTCTGCCTTTTTTATTTAACAAGGCTTGTGTACCTGCTGTCCTCTTGGGAGGAAAACAGAGCAAAGGCTTTAAGGTTTAAAACCAAGACCCTCACATCTGTTTGCATGAAAGTTGAAACCAGAGCAGCAATAAAATATGTAATGTCGTATATAAAGTCAGGATTGTATTCCTAGCAGGCAGTGGAAAGTAAACCCTGACCCAAATGAACAATTTGTGATGGATATGACATGATATCGGCTAAAAAATGACCAGTAACACTTTATTGCTTTAATTGCAAGACGACGTAAGAAGTAATATGAACTTAATGACATTGCATTGACGTGGCAGATGTTTGTTCTATTTATAACACTCTCATGAAGCACTGTTACAAGTCATGGATGTGAGAGGCAGAGGCCCAGTTAAAAAGAGCATATATCAGTTACTTATTTATGTTTTTAATTATTTATTTGCAGGTTGGGTAGTAACAGAATATATGTAAGAGTATTGCAAAATCAGGATACAAAAAAAGGTATTTCCTTACAGTTACAAGGAAAAATACAGATATCAGATTGTAAGTACATTATATAAATGAGGGTGATTACCAATAGGGTTACATTTAAACCACATAATAGCCTTTGCTTGAAATTCGCCACTCTGAATGAAAAATATATCATATGAATGTTGTAGATGTTTTAAGAGTTTAGTGTTTTTAATTTTGGGGTTAGTGCTGCAGCCAGCAGAGACATCTAATGAAGAATCCCCCTCCCAAGCAGCAGTCCACAATCTTTTATCAAGCTTATCTGTACAAATTTTAATAAGTGTTTTATTTTTTATTGGCAGAGGTAAGATTTTCAGTGCTTTCCCAAAGATATTTGAATCGGACTTTCATGCTGGTTTAACATAGATACAGCTGCAAACTGAACCGGATGTTTGCGCCATATTTTTACAACCGTGAAGTGCCTAGGAACCAATCACATACCAATTCAAAGAGGTTGTCATAGAGTTTCTGACTATCAGTATGGCAGTGAACCTCCAACAGCTCAGAGCATTTGTTGTTGGTACCAACAGTTCCAAGAAAAAAGTCACCAGCATCACCAGATCTCACGCCATGTGACATTTTTTGTGGGGGTATGTTAAAGATTCTGTTTATGTGCCACCACTCCCATCCACACTGGATGATCTCTGAAATTGCGTTGAAAGAGCTGTGAGTACAGTGAAACCCGACATGCTCAATTGAGTATGGGATGAATTTGACAATGGCGTTGATGTTGTCCGTGCAGCTGGAGGAGGTCATATTGAGCACTTGTAAAATTCATGATAAACTTTATGGTCACTTAAACCATTTATAGTTTACAGCAATGTTCTGTAATGATTTACAAGTGAAATAAATCATTTTGAAATCCGATGAATCTTTCTGAATAATGTTAAAGAAGAACAATAACGTGGATCGGAAGAATAACAAAATGTGAAGAGAGCTTTGTGAGTGGTTGGTCCAGTTTTCACATATATGATTTCTTTATTCAGTAGTTTCAAACATGTTAATGATAGTTATTGGTAACTTATATGATCAGATCACATTCAGTTTTCATGTGAAACTAATGAACTCGTAGGACATCGATTTCTGTGGACTGCTGAAAATGCAGAGAGTTGAGAGAACGTCTACAAATTACATTGCAAACGCAATGATAGAAGTCTAAGCACAACGCAGCTATATGAAGCCTTATGGGCCAGTGGAGGCTTTTCAGCAGGAGCTTTTAGAATGGCCTTTATTTATCATTACTGGTGGAGTTTTGACAATGATATAAATCAAAGACAACATAATCACCTGCAATCATGTTGCTTCCAAACCAGTGCAGTTATCTGGTTTGTCTTGTGTTAAGTTAAAGTTATCTTGCTAAAATATTTTTTCTCTTGTTTTTATTTAATTATACAACTTTAAAAAGAGAAGTCATTCAAAAGCAACAAAAAATAATCAGATTACATAGTATAATGATGATGATGATGATGAGGCTGAGCATACCTTTTTCAGCACGAGCCTCATCTCGGCGTTCCATCAGCAGGAATCGTGGGCTCTCCGGTAGAAACGGCAAAATGCACAGCTGAAGAAGCGCGGGAACTGCCAAGAAGGCAAACAGGAAGTTCCACCTACCCACCTGCAAAACCACACAGTAACACATCAGTAACACTTCAAAAACACATCAACACGTTATTAGCACCGTATGTTTACAAAAATACACATCAACAACATCACACACTAATAACACAAACCAAAACATTCAGTAGCACAGCAGCAATATGCTAATAAATGAAAACAAAGGGAGCACTTATTTTCAAAAATAATCATGTGGTGCAATCATGTTACAGTCCAGCTTTCTCTCGTTTGCTCTCAATTTTGGGATCAGCTCAACTAAACACTGCTACATATTTAAAAAGTGTTACAGAAAACCTAAAGCCTAAAGCATAAAAACGTTTTGGATTACAGTGCAGTAATAAGCTTTACATAGTGAGTCAAATATAGCCATTGCAAAACACTGACAAGCAGCATTACAGCTCCATTCTAGACATCAGAAATGTAGTCTGAATCAGAAGTGTGTTACAATGAGAAGAGCAGAGACTAGTTTTGGGGTGAACAGATTAATGGGGGGCACTAAACTCATCTTTTTATCCTCACTATCCTGAGCCTGAGCTGAACACTGTGGTCACCTCTTTCCACAGCATACACACAAAAGCTCTGGAGATACACACTCTAGGGAGACTGAAACTGCAGTCTCATGTTTGTTGAGTAATAGTGTTATACACTTTCTGAAGAAAATAAATAACTACTGGGAACTACACCACATGTAAAATTGTCTGGACACTCCTCCTAATTAGAGTTCAGATGTTTCAGCCACAACCATTGCTAACAGGTGTATAAAATCAAGCACACAGCCATGCATCTCCATAGAGAAACATCAGCAATAGAATGGGTCTTACTGAAGAGTGATTTTAAACAACTGTATGTTGGGAACTTCAGTTCAGTTTCACCGAGCTCAGTTCTGGAAGCCTCAGTTTCCATGGCTGAGCAACTGCTCACAAGCCTAAGATCAATATTCGCAATGCCAAGTGCCAGCTGGAATGGTATGAAGTATTCCGCCACTGGACTCTAGAGCAGTGGAAACGTTCTCTGGAGTGATGAATCTTGCTTCACCATCTGGATGAATCTGGGTTTCTCAGATGCCAGGAGAGCATTACTGGAGTGCATAGTGCCAACAGTAAAGTTTGGTGAAGGAGGGATAATGGCCTGGGGCTGTTTTTTGGGGTTTTGGCTCAGCCCCTTAGTTCCAGTGAAAGGTAGTGTTGATGCCACAGCATACTAATATAATTTAGGACAATTATATATATGCCTCCAACTTTGTGGCAGCAATTTGGGGAATGTTCCAGCATGACTGTGGCCCTGGCTGTATTAATGCTCATGGTTTTGGAATGGGATGACCAACAAGCTCGTATAGGTGTGGTGGTCGGGTGTCCACATACTTTTGGCCATATAGTGTATGTAGAACTGATTATTTTGTTATTGTCATTATTTGAACATACATTTAGGGCATTACATTTGCTCCCTACATGTTGCCACATAAATTAGTATACGTATTCTAAATAGTGGTTTCACAACTTTGAATTGCAGTTTGTCAAACTGTTTTGTTAGCCTACTGTGGCAGTTTTTGATGGATCTTTGGTTCATTCACTAGTTTGCGAAAACTGAACAAAATCAGTGAATGTTTCAGAAGGAATGAATTGATTCAGTGAACTGAGTCAAATTATTCATATCTTTGAAAAGAACTGTATAATGTACTACCACAAATATCTCTGTCTTTCTCTTTGAGGTCTGACAGTTAGATGAAGCCAAAGATAATAGAAATGTACTATTAAAAGACAGCTATTAAAGTCAGCAGTTAATGTGTCCATTATTTATAAATATCATGATCCCCCTGTTATGAGAAAAATGGTGAACTTAGATGGATGGTGGAGTTCATATTCTCTTCCTTTCTGTAGAAGCACTACAATTAAATTTAAAAGCTCAATGAATGAAAGCTGTGAGGGGGAAAAAAAGGAGTGGTCTCAGGCTCTCAGCCTGATTCTGTTCCTTTTGGCAGACAGACGTGACTGCATCAGGGCTTCGGGAACTGGTGGAGTGTTTGTGTGAAGCATATTAAACGCCTCTGCGGAAGGCAGGGGAATTGGACTCACGCTGAGCTCTATGCGTTATTGAGCTGTTCCATAAATGCTCTCTGCTGGAGACAATCAAACATAATCTGATTTCACAAAAGGCTGTTTTAAAAACAATCCAGCTCTCATTTTCCCATTTCTGTCAGCGGGGTGTTAAGAACATAAACAAGCTCATTATGAAACATTGTCAAGAATTAGCATCAATTGTTAAAAGAGTGAGTTTAATTACTGTTTGCATGCCTGTAATGTTTGATACCCTAATCCACTCTAAAGTACAGCATTTGGAATAAGAATCTGGTCTGAGAGAGAAAGAGAAAGATAATGAGGGAGAGAAGAGTTATTCCCTTTGTAGTTTGGTCCAGAAACAAGTCTGATTGGCGTCAAGTCAAGATACAGTAGGCAGTGATCAGGTAGTTGAAGAGCTTCACCACATCTATGATCAAAATGTCTGCATGACAACCAATTTGTCTAAGTATTTTTGGAAATGCTACTGTTTCCATAGTTTAATGGGGCTTTATAGTTTAATAGTTTTGTGCTTAAACTACTTAATCTAGCATTGAAAACATTAGCCAACACTGCAAATGCTGCAGTATAATGTTAGAAATCAATTAAACTAATTAAAGGCGTTGTAACCAAGGGAATTTAATCAGGCCTGAAATTTTTATCCAAACCTGTCTATAGAATGAGAAAATTTGCCCAAGTATGGCCCAAGCTGACCAAAACAGAATTAAGTTTTAAAAAAAAACATAGCAGCAACCTGACAAATTCTGGCCAAATGGAGTCAAATGGAGCCAGACAAAATTCTGTCCCAAACATTAGACCACCAAAATTCTGTCTGAACTGAACTGTAGCTCAACAAAATTCTGTCCAAACCCAAATTCTGTCCAAACATTCTGTATGAAAATTCTGTCCAAACCCAAATTCTGTCTTAACTCAAATGTAGCTCAATGAAATTCTATCCAAACCCAATTGCAGCTCAACAAAGTTCTGTCTGAACTCAACTGTAGCTTTCTGCCCCAATGCAGGTGGATGAATGCAGTTCAACAAAATTCAACCCAAGTGTAGCCTGACAAAATTTTATCTGAACCTAAATGTATTCTGTTAAAGTTCTGTTCCAATCCCAAATATAGTCTGACAAAATTTTGTCCAAATCTCAATGTATCCTGATAAAATTCTATCTTAACCTGATTGCAACCCAATTCTACCCCAACCTGACAGTAACCTGACAAAATTCTGTCCCAACCCAACCATGCTCTGACAAAATTTTGTCCCAACTCAATTATAGTCCACCAAAATTCTGTCCTAACCTGTCTGTGCCCCAACAAATTTTGCCCAACCCCCAATATATCTGACTAAATTATGTTCCAACCTGACTATAGCCCAACAAAATTTTGTCTGAACCTGACAGCTTGACAACGTTTTGTCCAAAACCCAACTGTAGCGCAACAAAATTCTGTCTGAAACTGACTGTAGCCCAACAAAAGTCTGTCACAACCCGCATGTAGCCAAAGAAAATTCTGTATGAACTCCACTGTAGCTTGAAAAAATTCAGTCTGAACTCAACTGTAGCTCTCCAAAAATCTGACTGAACTCAACACCTCAACAAAATTCTGCCTGAATGCATCTACAGCCTGAACCTGAACCTGAATGTAGCTGACAAAACTGTTTGAATCTGACTGTATCTCAAAAAAAAAATCTCCTCTGTACTCCACTGTAGTTCAGCAAAATTGTCTGATGCTATCTACAGCCTCTTAAAAATCTGTCTGAACCTGAATGTATTGTAAACTGAATTTGGTGAAAAGTTATTGTTGTACTTAGTCTTATAATATGTACAGCTAACATTTCCAAATGGTGTAAAAAATGTGGAATTTTGTCAGTGGCATAACTAGAAAAACATGACAATGTAGTTCACAAATTTATTCGGTATTGTCATGTCTCAGATGAGTTAATGCTCTAAAGGGCATGCAATGTCACCCACTACCATCCAATGTATTTGGTTTGCTATAATACACTAAAAAATAAATACAAAGAAAAACAAATCCAGGAGAGATTTAGAAAATGTTTTAGCTAACAAACCAAATCACTATAGATTTTTAATTATTTGTATTTATATGTATGATTTATTTTTATGATAGTGATTCTGAAACAAAAACACTGGATAAGTATCTTTACATCTGATTTTCTAAGACGCTTGTTATTGTTTGTTTACAATACAAAGTGATTCCAGACTTCAATTGTGCATCATAGGATACTAAATAGACTAAGTATGATAACCATCTAAGAAGTATGACAGCACAATAATTAGCTCAGTCACTTGAACATTCCAGTGTAAACAATACTTCTTTTCATATAATAGCATGAGCACCCCTAGTTTTGTACCACTGAATTTTGTTTAAATAGTATTGGTTTATGGAACGTATTGCAAAACAACATCAAATCTAGATTTCTATGAGTTAAAAAAGTATCATTTTCTGAAATGTTTGATAGAGAGGAATAGCTGTAAATATCTCTTTATGCTATGAACAGCCCAGCGGCAATCGTATTGATTGGTCCTGTACACACCATCACTAAAAGCTAATGAGATGCACCTTCCTGAGTCTTTCAGATGAATGCAACTTTTAAAGAGTGTTAGCTGTCTCTGTCTTCATCTGGAACTACTTCATTCTGAAGTTCATGAGGACGAGTCCCAAAACCTGCATTTATTTTCGCCAGTTGCTCTCAATGAGATCAGGAAAGATTACAGTTCAGAGGGGTAATTTAGCACTTCGTAGAGTTGATTGCTCCGAGTAGGACTGGGCAGTAATGAGGAGGAGGAGTGAAGGGGATGATGATGAAAACAAACTCAGTCCTCCGCCTTGCAGGCACTCCTCAGAGGATTATGGGTAAAAAAGACATAATGAAGCAGGCTTGCTACGTAAACAAAGATCTAGAGATGGGAATATGAATGTCC